CTTGCATCCACTGGGAATCGAACCCACAACCTTGGAGTTGCTGTACTGTTACTGTAAGTATTTTCTGCTGTTTATGCCTATACAACATTGCAAAATACAAAATATACATTAAGAAGCACTGATTTAGATGACTGTCCTAGCTTGGGGTTGAGTAACAAATAATGATTGACGTGAATAACAGTATTTGTGAGCTTCAGGCCTCACGCTGTTTTGTTTCTCATCTTTTTCGTCTCCAATCAAACTACAGTATTTTAGAACAAATCAAAATGTTACATGGTAATATTGGTAATGCTATCTTAATGCATTTAAAGGCATGCATTAAAGGTTAAATATGTACATTTACTTTGCATCCAAGGTGTGCATTTTATCAGTTGCTTGTATTACTTGCATTCACTGGGAATCGAACCCACAAGCTTGGAGTCGCTCTATTGTTTGTTTCCATTGGTCTGTTTAATCTCAGTCACTTTATTTTCTATTGTTTGTGCTTATACAACATGCAAATATATACATTAAGAAGCGCTGATCTAGACAACTGTCCTTGGGTTTGAGTAACAAATAATGTTTGTTGTGAATATTTGTGAACTTCAGGCCCATTACGGTTTTGTTTCCAAGATCTTTTGTTGTTGATGTTAAAAGTCGAACTCTACAGTATATTTGCACAAATTAATGTCACATTGCATTATTGGTAATGCTATCTTTATGCATTTAAAGGCATGCATTAAAGGTTAAATTTATGCATTTACATTGCAATAATGTATACATTTAATCAGTCGCTTGTATTACTTGCATTCACTGGGAATCGAACCCACAACCTTTGGAGTTGATCTACTGTTCATTTCCATTCGTCTGTTTAATCATAGTCACTTTATTTTCTGTTTTTTATGCCTATACTACATGCAAAATACAAAATATAGAGTAAAATAGTATTAAAATAATATCCTGTAACTCATAAGTGACACTAGCAACACTGAGGTCATGAGTTCGATTCCCAAATGCATGAACTATAGCTTAACTGCAGTGTGTTTTGTTTTGGATAAAAGTGTCTGCCAAATGCATAAATGTAAATAATCATCTTGCATAGCAGTATTTGTGATCTCTAAGCCTCCTATTATTTTGTTGAGTTTTATGATTATCTGATCCATGCATGTAAATAATATAAACTGCAGACTTTGATTCACAGGATAACTCGTACCTGCAGCAGCTTTACAGAGATCCATTCATGCGTGAGACCCCTGCGGTTCTTTTAATCAGGCAGGTAAAGTCGTTCATCACAAAGGTTAATGAATATCTAGCAGCACATTGAAATGCTTTACAGTATGTTGACATTTGTTGCTCTTTTCCTTTTGTTTTTGTTTTTTCTCTATAAATGGAAAAGCGTGTGAAAATGACTTCATTTTAATGTTTTATTAGTTTTTGTTCTGTTTTTTTTTTTTATTACTATTTAGGTATAATTTATTTTTTGTTTCAATTTTAGTTAATATTTTAGTAATTTTCTAATGTCCTTTTGTCATTTTTAATAGTTTTAATTATTTTTTTTAATATTACTGTTTAGGTTTAATTTATTAAGGTTTAAGTTTTTAAATTGTAATAATTTTGCGATGTGCTTTTGTTATTTTTATTCGTTTTTGCTCTTTTTAAAATATTACTATTTAGGTTAAATTTATTTTCATTTCAATTTTAGTTAATGTTTTAGTAATTTTGTTTTGTATTTTTTGTATTTTTTAATATATTTATGTTTAATTTATTTTTGTTCCAATTTTAGTTAATGTTTTTTAATTTTTATTTTGCTATGTGCTTTTGTTATTTTTATTAGTTTTTTTTTTTTTTAATATTACTACTTAGGTTTATCTTGTTTTTATTTCACTTTTCAGCTTTTATTTGTTTAAAGTTAGTAATTTTAGTGCTTCAACCTAAATTTACTTCAGCTATTTGCCAAGGCAAATTTTTAATTTAACTATTTTTTTATCTAAAATAAATTTTTTATGTAAACTATTATCATTTTAGCTTTATTTAATAAAAAAAAATGTTAATAGTTTTAGTTTTAGTAATAATAATAACCTGCCTGATGTGTATTTCATCTTTACAGTCTTAGATAAAAGTCAAGTGATTTAAAGGCACAGACAGCATCTGAATAGCATCTTTGCAGGTTTTCTTCTGCCAGTCACTAAATGAGCATTAAATCGTACTGTGAGAGGAAGGAGATATTAATATATATATATATATATATATATATTATATATTATATAAAACAAGATTGCAGATTTTCAGTTTTTTAAATGTTTATTTATTTATTGTTTGTTTGTTTATGTATCTTGGATTAAAATGTTTAGATTTTTGTACTAGAAACATACAAGACAAAAATACTAAGAAACCCATGTTTGCAGTGTTTATGACCCATGCATTTTTAAAATAAATAAATAAGTCGTCCTTCACACATCATGTGGTTGTGGTTGATGGAAAGACTTTCAACCCATTTTTGTTTCTTTTTCTCAAGCTTCACGAAGCTTCATCGATTCACGCTCTTGAAGAGCGACCGAAGCTCCGCCAGAGTCTGGACTCTTCTGAGATGGATGGCTTTGGATGTGTTTATACGGTGTTTTAATACGAACACACGCCACGTGTTCATCGCACAGGCTGAAATATGAGCTCAATATCTGCTTCACATTCAGATCAATTTAACAAGCCTTCGCACACTCGTCCAGTGACGTTTGAGAAGAAATAATCGCATTTGGCCCTCAGCGAGATGAATCGTTTCATAACACAGATTGGGTTTGGAGTCCATTTGCGGCTGTGAGTGTTAGTGAACGCTGAGGGTGAACGTCATTAATGAAGCACTTTTAACCGTGTTAATAGTTTGATAATGAGGCTCAGTGACTCGCCGCGTCCATTAAACTCAATGGAATAAAACAAGAAGCTGTGAAACGCACTCGAGACGTCTTCGTAGTTTAATATCAGGCCTGTAGGACTCAAACACGAGTCAGAACTAGACATCACTGAAATATAGAAATGTTATTTTGCATTAAACCTCATATGGAGGAATCACTTAAAGGGATAGTTCACCCAAAAATGAAAATGTGATGTTTATCTGCTTACCCCCAGGGCATCCAAGATGTAGCTGACCTTGTTTCTTCAGTAGAACACAAACAAAGATTTTTAACTCAAACCGTTGCAGTCT